GTTTTTCAATGAGGCATTGGCGGAAGAGGTCTCGCTTAATCGAGTCCTTCAGACCTTCGACGTTGATCTTTCGTCGGCATCTCTTCCGCTGCAGCCATCACTTGGGAGCGAGTTTTCTGGACATAATTGAACAGTTGAGTCGATGATCAGTCCAGCAATCATCAGCTGCGAGCACAGCCTGAGTGATGTGGATATCTTGCCGAATTCGGGCATGGACAATGGCATAATCAATAAAGTGCCAGTGCTTAGATGGTGGATGTTGCCATGATGTTTTGTATTTTCTTTTCTAGCGGAACACGGTGTTGGCGACAATGAGTCCACGTTCCGTGCATTTAGTCAAGAGGAGGATGTCGTTGGAATTGACTTCTCCCACTCCTCCCTTGCTGATGGTTCCATTCCAGAGGCTTAAGTCCCTTCCAACTCTGGCATTAAAATCACCGAGAAGAACCAGTTTGTCTCCCAGCGGAACGGTCGTAAAGACCCGGTAAAGGTTGGCGTAAAATTCTTCCTTGGTTTCATCATCGGAGTCAAGAGTCGGGGCATATGCGCTGATGGCAGTGGCACTATTGGCTTCCCACCAGTTTGAGGCATAGTCACGAAGCGCTCACTGATTCTGATAAGTAACTCGTCAAGCTGATTGATGAGTTCACTCTTGATGGTGAAACCAACTCTGCGCAGCCTCCGTTGTTGTTCTTGCTGGCTGCCTTTCCAGAAGAGGGGAGCATAGCCACCTCCTGTTTCCTTGAGCTTTCCCTGCTCGCCGAGTCTCACTGAGGGCAGCCCCACGTCAATGTTGTGTCGTCTTGAGTTCCTGGGCCACGATTGCGGTGTGGCGTTCTGGGCATTCACTTTTAGGGTTGTCCATGAGGCTCCTGACATTCCAGGTCCCAAATTATATCGTCTGACTTAAATTTTTGTTTCCACCGCAGCAACGGTGGTCCCTCTGGACGCGGTCATCCAGTCGGGAAGCGCCGAGACAGATTTTGTTTAGGGAACATTTTCTCGCGCCCTTCCCCACGTGGGGTGAGCAAAGTGGATCCTAAAAAGGACTGTTCGGTCGCAATTGCAGCTGTCCAAATGCACTCTCGTCTCCGCCGAGTGTTGGACGACTGTCTTGTAGCTGCCGCCGCCACGCCAGTTTGTAGCTAGAAGCTTCAAGACTTCACAATCCTGTTCCAATCGTCACTAGCCGGATGCCCAAGGACTTGATTTGAACGTGCCGGAAGATGTTTGTCCCTTTCATGAAAGACGCCTGTGCACGATTTCTTTTATTGTGGAGAAGCGGTTGCAGAGCAGCCTCCACACAATTCTTGACGGAACGGGACCATGAATCCGATAGCAAGGAAACCAAGGACGATTGGGCATATCATTCTGCTGCAGCCTTCGTCCGGCTTCACAGCCGTTGAGATGTTCACATCTTCTTCCGCCGGCGCTGCCGTTGAGGACTTGTTAACCATAGCTGTGGGCTTATTGTAATGGCGGCCTATACTTGCCATGTCTCAGCAGCATCAACGGGTACATGTGGCGTTTCAAGAGGAAAAGCACTGCACTCTGGGGTCCTAACCACACCCTGGTGGTGCTATCGCTGTTTGGTCCACGACTGCGTATTCATCAGGCCCCTGCTTATTTAGCACATAATCTTCACGGAAGGTCGATCCACTATCCCGCTACCTGCGGACGCGCTGGGCAGCAGTGCAGCACCGCTGAGTAGTCGCCTGCCCGTGGTGCTGCCCCTGTCTCTCTGTGTGTAGGGAACACGCTGAGTAGTCACCTGCCCGTGGTGCTGCCCCTGTCTCTCTGTGTGTGTAGGGAACACGCTGAGTAGTCGCCTGCCCGTGGTGCTGCCCCTGTCTCTCTGTGTGTGTAGGGAACACGCTGAGTAGTCGCCTGCCCGTGGTGCTGCCCCTGTCTCTCTGTGTGTAGGGAACACGCTGAGTAGTCACCTGCCCGTGGTGGCTGCCCCTGTCTCTCTGTGTGTAGGGAACACGCTGAGTAGTCGCCTGCCCGTGGTGCTGCCCCTGTCTCTCTCTGTGTGTAGGGAACACGCTGAGTAGTCGCCTGCCCGTGGTGGCTGCCCCTGTCTCTCTGTGTGTAGGGAACACGCTGAGTAGTCGCCTGCCCGTGCTGCTGCCCCTGTCTCTCTCTGTGTGTAGGGAACACGCTGAGTAGTCGCCTGCCCGTGCTGCTGCCCCTGTCTCTCTGTGTGTGTGTAGGGAACACGCTGAGTAGTCGCCTGCCCGTGGTGGCTGCCCCTGTCTCTCTGTGTGTAGGGAACACGCTGAGTAGTCGCCTGCCCGTGCTGCTGCCCCTGTCTCTCTCTGTGTGTAGGGAACACGCTGAGTAGTCGCCTGCCCGTGCTGCTGCCCCTGTCTCTCTGTGTGTGTGTAGGGAACACGCTGAGTAGTCGCCTGCCCGTGGAGGCTGCCCCTGTCTCTCTGTGTGTGTGTAGGGAACACGCTGAGTGAGTCGCCTGCCTGTGCTGCTGCCCCTCTCTGTGTGTAGGGAACACGCTGAGTAGTCGCCTGCCCGTGCTGCTGTCTCTCTCTGTGTGTAGGGAACACGCTGAGTAGTCGCCTGCCCGTGCTGCTGTCCCTCTCTGTGTGTAGGGAACACGCTGAGTAGTCGCCTGCCCGTGCTGCTGTCCCTCTCTGTGTGTAGGGAACACGCTGAGTAGTCGCCTGCCTGTGCTGCTGCCCCTGTCTCTCTGTGTGTAGGGAACACGCTGAGTAGTCGCCTGTCTGTGCTGCTGTCTCTCTCTGTGTGTAGGGAACACGCTGAGTAGTCGCCTGCCTGTGCTGCTGTCTCTCTCTGTGTGTAGGGAACACGCTGAGTAGTCGCCTGCCCGTGCTGCTGTCTCTCTCTGTGTGTAGGGAACACGCTGAGTGAGTCGCCTGCCTGTGCTGCTGTCTCTCTCTGTGTGTAGGGAACACGCTGAGTAGTCGCCTGCCCGTGCTGCTGTCTCTCTCTGTGTGTAGGGAACACGCTGAGTGAGTCGCCTGCCCGTGCTGCTGTCTCTCTCTGTGTGTAGGGAACACGCTGAGTAGTCGCCTGCCCGTGGTGCTGCCCCTGTCTCTCTGTGTGTAGGGAACACGCTGAGTAGTCACCTGCCCGTGGTGCTGCCCCTGTCTCTCTGTGTGTGTAGGGAACACGCTGAGTAGTCGCCTGCCCGTGGTGCTGCCCCTGTCTCTCTGTGTGTGTAGGGAACACGCTGAGTAGTCGCCTGCCCGTGGTGCTGCCCCTGTCTCTCTGTGTGTAGGGAACACGCTGAGTAGTCACCTGCCCGTGGTGGCTGCCCCTGTCTCTCTGTGTGTAGGGAACACGCTGAGTAGTCGCCTGCCCGTGGTGCTGCCCCTGTCTCTCTCTGTGTGTAGGGAACACGCTGAGTAGTCGCCTGCCCGTGGTGGCTGCCCCTGTCTCTCTGTGTGTAGGGAACACGCTGAGTAGTCGCCTGCCCGTGCTGCTGCCCCTGTCTCTCTCTGTGTGTAGGGAACACGCTGAGTAGTCGCCTGCCCGTGCTGCTGCCCCTGTCTCTCTGTGTGTGTGTAGGGAACACGCTGAGTAGTCGCCTGCCCGTGGTGGCTGCCCCTGTCTCTCTGTGTGTAGGGAACACGCTGAGTAGTCGCCTGCCCGTGCTGCTGCCCCTGTCTCTCTCTGTGTGTAGGGAACACGCTGAGTAGTCGCCTGCCCGTGCTGCTGCCCCTGTCTCTCTGTGTGTGTGTAGGGAACACGCTGAGTAGTCGCCTGCCCGTGGAGGCTGCCCCTGTCTCTCTGTGTGTGTGTAGGGAACACGCTGAGTGAGTCGCCTGCCTGTGCTGCTGCCCCTCTCTGTGTGTAGGGAACACGCTGAGTAGTCGCCTGCCCGTGCTGCTGTCTCTCTCTGTGTGTAGGGAACACGCTGAGTAGTCGCCTGCCCGTGCTGCTGTCCCTCTCTGTGTGTAGGGAACACGCTGAGTAGTCGCCTGCCCGTGCTGCTGTCCCTCTCTGTGTGTAGGGAACACGCTGAGTAGTCGCCTGCCTGTGCTGCTGCCCCTGTCTCTCTGTGTGTAGGGAACACGCTGAGTAGTCGCCTGTCTGTGCTGCTGTCTCTCTCTGTGTGTAGGGAACACGCTGAGTAGTCGCCTGCCCGTGCTGCTGTCTCTCTCTGTGTGTAGGGAACACGCTGAGTGAGTCGCCTGCCTGTGCTGCTGTCTCTCTCTGTGTGTAGGGAACACGCTGAGTAGTCGCCTGCCTGTGCTGCTGTCTCTCTCTGTGTGTAGGGAACACGCTGAGTAGTCGCCTGCCCGTGCTGCTGTCTCTCTCTGTGTGTAGGGAACACGCTGAGTGAGTCGCCTGCCTGTGCTGCTGTCTCTCTCTGTGTGTAGGGAACACGCTGAGTAGTCGCCTGCCCGTGCTGCTGTCTCTCTCTGTGTGTAGGGAACACGCTGAGTGAGTCGCCTGCCCGTGCTGCTGTCTCTCTCTGTGTGTAGGGAACACGCTGAGTAGTCGCCTGCCAGTGCTGCTGTCCCTCTCTGTGTGTAGGGAACACGCTGAGTAGTCGCCTGCCCGTGCTGCTGCCCCTCTCTGTGTGTAGGGAACACGCTGAATAGTCGCCTGCCCGTGCTGCTGTCTCTCTCTGTGTGTAGGGAACACGCTGAGTAGTCGCCTGCCCGTGCTGCTGTCCCTCTCTGTGTGTAGGGAACACGCTGAATAGTCGCCTGCCCGTGCTGCTGTCTCTCTCTGTGTGTAGGGAACACGCTGAGTAGTCGCCTGCCCGTGCTGTTGCCCCTCTCTGTGTGTAGGGAACACGCTGAGTAGTCGCCTGCCTGTGCTGCTGTCTCTCTCTGTGTGTAGGGAACACGCTGAGTGAGTCGCCTGCCTGTGCTGCTGCCCCTGTGTCTCTCTGTGTGTAGGGAACACGCTGAGTAGTCGCCTGCCTGTGCTGTTGCCCCTCTCTGTGTGTAGGGAACACGCTGAGTGAGTCGCCTGCCTGTGCTGCTGCCCCTGTGTCTCTCTGTGTGTAGGGAACACGCTGAGTAACCTGCCCATGGTGGCTGCCCCTCTTCTCTCCGCGCCATTCTGCGCTCGAGCCCACGTGGAGTGGAGATACCTGTTGGCGCTTGTGGGGATCTCAGGTACCCACAGAGACACGGGAAGGACACAGAGAGACATGGGGGGGGGGGGGGCAGACAAAGACACGACGTTGGTGACAATGGTGATGATGTTATGACGATGACGGTGATGATGTTGTAACGATGATGGTGAAGGATGTTGTGATGATGGTGATGATGTTCTGTTGCTGTAGTGGTCGGGATCGGCTCGTGGTTTTTCCACATGACCCTTCTGTACGAGATGCAGGTGAGACTCGCTCACCTATACACTCACCCATTCACCCGCTCAGATTCACTTACTCATTCACCTATTCACTCACCTATTCATTTACCCACTCATTCACTTTCTCATACGCACTCTCACCTATTCACTCACCTTTGCATACACTCACCTTTGCATTCACTCCCTCACAGTCATGCACTCTCTCACCTATTCACTCACCTATTCATTTACCTACCCATTCACTAGCTCAGAGTTCCAGATCCGACGCGCGGATAGCCAACATCGCGGATGGCCGGTTCGTGACTAACGAGACAATATAATATCAGTGTTTATTTGGTGTCTGACCATCTTAACGCCTCCTCTATGTATGCCAGAGCGGGTGAAGCCACGTTATTTTTGTATCGTTCATTGCATCTGTTAGTTGTGCACAAAGCAGAAGAAGCAGCAGCATCATCATTGTCCGTGTAGAGATACCGCCTTGCTGTGAAAGAGCCAACGGCAGAAATATGTCTGGGGTTTGATCTTCACTGAGGCTGCTCATTCTAGATTTGAAGTTTTCAGGACTGCAGGGATCCATACTCTTTGGTTCTTTCGGTAAAGTCACGTAGGTAGAAAATACAATTAATTAAATGACGACATTTCGATAGCAACACAAGCAATCATCAGGTGGGAAAACCACATCAAAAACATTTCTTGCTGTGGTTTTCCCACCTGGTGATGATTGCTTGTGTTGCCATCGAAACGTCGTGATTTATTTTATTTTATACCTACATGACTTTACCGAAAAAACCAAAGAGTATGAGGCTGCTCGTGGTCCACCCTAACCCACGCATCGTCCACTGCACAAACCACGACAGCAGCAGCAGATGCAGATGGGGATTCTAGATTCGCGATGTTGTATTTGACCCAGGTGAGAAGGCCCCGCTGAGCTGCTGTGTAGCGACCCGGCCCATCACAAATGCTAGCAGCTCGACCAAGTGGCTTATCGTCATTGTCCCGTGAACATGCATTGCAGCCAAATACTCTAAACGCATAGGGATACATAGAGACCCATAGATATGCATAGAGACACAGACATATAGAGATCCTTAGAGACAAGTGACCCATATAGACATACATAGTGACCCATAGTCATACATAGAGACACATAGATATGCATAGAGACAAAGACATATAGAGATCCTTAGAGACACAGTGACCCATATAGACATACATAGTGACCCATAGTCATACATAGAGACACATAGAAATACATAGAGACACATAGACATATAGAGATCCTTAGAGACACAGTGACCCATATAGACATACATAGTGACCCATAGTCATACATAGAGACACATAGAGATACATAGAGACACATAGACATATAGAGATCCTTCGAGACACAGTGACCCATAGACATACATAGTGACCCATAGACATACATAGATACCCATAGTCATTCCTAGAGAGACGGAGACCCATAAGCAAAAATATTTTGTATTTTACGAGGTAGTAAGGCCCCACTGAGCTGTGAGGCTCTTTCAGAAGCGACCTGGCCCATCGCAAATGATAGCAGCTCTACCAAGTCGCTTATCGTCATCGTCATCGTCATCCCGCGGGAACATTTCTAGGAGTAGCCAGATACTCTCAATCGAATGCACAAACGGGAAACTAAAAACGCTCCAGGAGTGGTGGTGATGCGACTGTGGCCATCCAGAACAGAGACCGTATGACACAGATTGACACATCGTAGGAGACTTTCGTGACCACAATGTTATCCTTGGTATAGGTGGTTTGTGGGTTAGATCGTGTTAATATAAACATGTGTCGTCAAACCCTCCGCCACCCAACACGGCCGACGAGTAACGTTTGTCACGTAAACAAAAACGTGCAAACTAGTTACTAGCACAGCACTGACCGGTGTGTTGGAGAGTAAAACCACGACAGCATTTACAATTCGAGTACTGTGACGTTTCACCGGTAATTACAACAACCAGCCTCACCAGGCGAAATCCAGATGAGGCTGTCACTCTCCAACACACCGGTTAGTGCTGAATTATTAACGAATTGGCACGTTTTGTTTACGCGACAAACCTTACAAAAATTGGCGGTGGTGGGTGGTGGCAGGTTTAACGGCACATTTATATTTAGTCGATCTAACCCAAACACCTCTATTACCGTACATCGCGCAATTACGCCTGATCCACAAATACGACGGGTGATGTTCATGGTGATCATGATGTTCATGGTGATGTTCATGGTGATGTTCATGGTGATGTTCATGGTGATCATGATGTTCATGGTGATGTTCATGGTGATGTTCATGGTGATGTTCATGGTGATCATGATGTTCATGGTGATGTTCATGGTGATGTTCATGGTGATGTTCATGGTGATCATGATGTTCATGGTGATGTTCATGGTGATGTTCATGGTGATGTTCATGGTGATCATGATGTTCATGGTGATGTTCATGGTGATGATCATGATGTTCATGGTGATGTTCATGGTGATGTTCATGGTGATCATGATGTTCATGGTGATGTTCATGGTGATGTTCATGGTGATGTTCATGGTGATCATGATGTTCATGGTGATGTTCATGGTGATGTTCATGGTGATGTTCATGGTGATATTCATGGTGATGTTCATGGTGATCATGATGTTCATGGTGATATTCATGGTGATATTCATGGTGATGTTCATGGTGATCATGATGTTCATGGTGATGTTCATGGTGATGTTCATGGTGATGTTCATGGTGATCATGATGTTCATGGTGATGTTCATGGTGATGTTCATGGTGATGTTCATGGTGATATTCATGGTGATGTTCATGGTGATCATGATGTTCATGGTGATATTCATGGTGATATTCATGGTGATGTTCATGGTGATCATGATGTTCATGGTGATGTTCATGGTGATGTTCATGGTGATCATGATGTTCATGGTGATATTCATGGTGATATTCATGGTGATGTTCATGGTGATCATGATGTTCATGGTGATGTTCATGGTGATATTCATGGTGATGTTCATGGTGATCATGATGTTCATGGTGATATTCATGGTGATATTCATGGTGATGTTCATGGTGATCATGATGTTCATGGTGATATTCATGGTGATGTTCATGGTGATGTTCATGGTGATCATGATGTTCATGGTGATATTCATGGTGATATTCATGGTGATGTTCATGGTGATCATGATGTTCATGGTGATATTCATGGTGATATTCATGGTGATGTTCATGGTGATCATGATGTTCATGGTGATATTCATGGTGATATTCATGGTGATGTTCATGGTGATCATGATGTTCATGGTGATATTCATGGTGATATTCATGGTGATGTTCATGGTGATCATGATGTTCATGGTGATATTCATGGTGATGTTCATGGTGATCATGATGTTCATGATTATGGTCATGGTGATGATGTTGATGATGTGAATGGTGATGTTGATGATGTTGATGTCGGTCATGTTCTCTTAGCTGCTGGATGAGCTACCCATGATCTACACATGCTGCGTCTTCGTGTACTGCCTGTGAGTACTGGATACACCGCACAAGCTGCACCGGAGCACTGTATATACTGTACAACCCACACACGGGGAACTGTACACACTGCACAAAGTGACCGCGGGGCACTGTACATACTGTACAAACTACAGCTGGATACTCTATACTGTACAAACTGCCTCTCGGTACTGTGCACTACCCGTGAGCATCGTATATACTGTACAACACTGTACGTGAGTACTGTACCAACATTGCTCTTGAAGACATGGGGGTGACGGTAATTTCAAATCCCAGTCTCGTGCTGCGCAAAATGGCGCTAACGACGATTATTATTGTTGATTGTTCGCCCACGTCATCGCACAAACATCGCGCAGAGGGACCGCAAGCGACCGGACATCGCGCCATGCTCCGTCAGGAGATCTGGTGTTCGTCATTGCCGCTATCGTCGTCGTCGTCATCGTTGGCGCGGGGGCATCGGTGGCATTGGCGGCCATTAGCATCGGCGTGTCTAAAACCCGCATCGACGATCCATTCATTCTGCAGCTCAGTTGGGAAAAATGACATCGCTGCTGTTTCTCTTTTCCACGAACTCGCGCCCAATCCGAGCGACAAGCACAAACAAAGAGAATGGCAAAAGCGGCGCAGTTGCAGCAGCCGCCACTGGCAGGCAATCGCTGCTTAGCAGACACACGGAGGAGGGAGGGGGAGGAGGAGGGAGGAAGGGGGAAGAAGGGGGAGGGAGGGGGAGGGGGTATGAGGGGGAGGTAGGGATGGAGGGAGGGGGGAGAGAGGGGGAGGGAGGGGAGGGAGGGGAGGAAGGAGGAGGAGCAAGTTGGAGGGAGGAGAAGGAGGAGGGAGGAGCAAGGAGGGAGGGGGAGGAGGAGGAGGTTGGAGGGAGGGAGGGAGAAGTTGGAGGGAGGGAGGAGACACAGGAGGAGGTTGTGGGAGTGCCGAGACACCTCGCCTGCAGACCCACCGCTGTAGATCTGCCGACTGACCATGTTGCCGAGCCGTCTGGCCAGGATTACTCCATACACGGCTCTTAGTTGTCAAAGAATGACATCGGCAGCCATGTTTTCGAGAGCAATGCCCAAAGAGCAGCGGCCTCACACCACGACGCCATTGCCACAACACAGTAACGCAACGGCCACAACACGTGCCTCCCCCCAACCACTGCACTCTGAGTCGGCTCGCGACCCCCGCCTCCCCCTGTGCCTCCGTGGCGCATCGTGAAGGGTTCCACTGCACTCTGACCACCCATCAACCGATCAACCTGGGGTCTGTGCACGGCTCTCGCGACGTTCTTCACCAATTTAAAGCGTGAAGATCGAGGCGGTGGTTTCTCACTTGAGGGAGGCAACGGCATTCTCCCGGCCTGCTCTCTGAGTTTTTATCAACCTGGGGCCCGGATGCGACGTCGGTTGCAGGAGGCGGGGCGTCGATGTTCATCGCCACGGCTGCCAAATGAAGACGCCGCCACTCGACCGCATCCACGCTGTCCATTCTGATTGTCCACGTGGCAAAATCTTTAGTTGAGCGAGGGGTTTGCTTCCCCCAGACCTGTGTCGAAATGGAGGAGTTAACACTGCTCCCGAAAAAAAGTTGCCCTGAGTCAATGTAAATATACATATAGTGAGACCCCACCAACTATCGTCCCCAATCTCAAACCTGAGTACGACATCAGTGGTCACGGAGCGCCTGCGTCTGAAGCGGTCGCTACGTCCCCACATTGCTGCAATGGTCAGATTCAACTCCATTTCAGTCTGTACCAGAGGTGCCCCAAGCACTAAGACAGCTCTACTGAAGATCACCGGTGACCTCTACAAAATCACCGATGACCTCTACAAGATTACGAATGACTTCTGCAAAGTCACAGATGACTTCTAGAAAATCACAGATGACCTTTAGAAGATCATTGATGACCTCTACAAGATCACTGACTACCTCTACAAGATCACGGATGACTTCTACAAGATCACGAATGACTTCTACAAGATCACAAATGACTTCTGCAAAGTCACCGATAATCTCTACAACATCACCAATGACCTCAAAAAATGACCGATGACCTATACAAGATTACCGATGACCTGTACAAGATTACCGATGATCTCTACAACATCACCGATGACTTCTACAAGATCACCACTGACATATACAAGATCACCTATGATCTCTACAAAATTACCGATAACCTATACAGTGAGGGAAAAAAGTATTTGATCCCCTGCTGATTTTGTACGTTTGCCCACTGACAAAGAAATGATCAGTCTATAATTTTAATGGTAGCTGTATTTGAACAGTGACAGACAGAATAACAACAACAAAATCCGGAAAAACGCATGTCAAAAATGTTATAAATTGATTGCATTTTAATGAAGGAAATAAGTATTTGACCCTCTGCAAAACATAACTTAGTACTTGGTAGTAAAACCCTTGTTGACAATCACAGAGGTCAGACGTTTTTTGTAGTTGGCCACCAGGTTTGCACACATCTCAGGAGGGATTTTGTCCCACTCCTCTTTGCAGATCTTCTCCAAGGCATTAAGGTTTCGAGGCTGACGTTTGGCAACTCGAACCTTCAGCTCTCTCCACAGATTTTCTATGGGATTAAGGTCTGGAGACTGGCTAGGCCACTCCAGGACCTTAATGTGCTTCTTCTTGAGCCACTCCTTTGTTGCCTTGGCCGTGTGTTTTGGGTCATTGTCATTCTGGAATACCCATCCATGACCCATTTTCAATGCCCTGGCTGAGGGAAGGAGGTTCTCACCCAAGATTTGACGGTACATGGCCCCGTTCATCGTCCCTTTGATGTGGTGAAGTTGTTCTGTCCCCTTAGCAGAAAAACACCCCCAAAGCATAATGTTTCCACCTCCATGTTTGACGGTGGGGATGGTGTTCTTGGGGTCATAAGCAGCATTCCTCCTCTTCCAAACACGGCGAGTTGAGTTGATGCCAAAGAGCTCCATTTTGGTCTCATTTGACCGCAACACTTTCACCCAGTTGTCCTCTGAATCATTCAGATGTTCATTGGCAAACTTCAGACGGGCATGTATATGTGCTTTCTTGAGAAGGGGGACCTTGCGGGTGCTGCAGGATTTCAGTCCTTCACGGCGTAGAGTGTTACCAACTGTTTTCTTGGTGACTATGGCCCCAGCTGCCCTGAGATCATTGACAAGATCCTCCCGTGTAGTTCTGGGCTGATTCCTCACCGTTCTCATGATCATTGCAACTCCACGAGGTGAGATCTTGCATGGAGCCCCAGGCTGAGGGAGATTGATAGTTCTTTTGTGTTTCTTCCATTTGCGAAATAATCGCACCAACTGTTGTCACCTTCTCACCAAGCTGCTTGGCGATGGTCTTATAGCCCATCCCAGCCTTGTGTAGGTCTACAATTTTGTCCCTGACATCCTTGAAGAGCTCTTTGGTCTTGGCCATGGTGGAGAGTTTGGAATCTGATTGATTTCTTCTGTCAACAGGTGTCTTTTATACAGGTAACAAAGCTTTGATTAGGAGCACTCCCTTTAAGAGTGTGCTCCTAATCTCAGCTCGTTACCTGTATAAAAGACACCTGGGAGCCAGAAATCTTTCTGATTGAGAGGGGGTCAAATACGGATTTCCCTCATTAAAATGCAAATCAATAAAAAAAAAATTGACGTGCGTTTTTCTGGATTTTTGTTGTTGTTATTCTGTCTCTCACTGTTCAAATAAACCTACCATTAAAATTATAGACTGATCATTTCTTTGTCAGTGGGCAAACGTACAAAATCAGCAGGGGATCAAATACTTTTTTCTCTCATTGTACAAGATCACCTATGATCTCTACAACATCACCGATGACCTATACAAGATCACCTATGATCTCTACAACATCACCGATGATCTCTACAAGATCACCACTGACCCTATACAAGATTACCGATGATCTCTACAACATCACCGATGACTTCTACAAGATCACCGCTGACCTTTACAAGATTACCGATGATCTCTACAACATCACGGATGACTTCTACAAGATCACTGATGACCACTAGAAGATCACTAATGACCTCCACCACATTACGGATGACCTCTACAAGATCACCGATGACCTCTGACCTCTACAACATCACGGATGACCTCTACATCACAGATGACTGGTGTACTGTGTACTCTGCCTGTGAGTGCTTGATGATGATGATGTTGATGTTGTTGATATTGTTGATCATGATGTTGTTGATGTTGCAGGTTTCTCAGCTTTGAGAAGCCAAACTTCATGAATGTTCCGTTCATCCTCACTCTGGTGGCATTCAGCTGCCTCGTCACAGGGGTGAGGGCATCACTAACATCAACATCACTAACATCAACATCATTAACATAAACATCACTAACATCAATATCAGCACCATCAACACCGCCATCCACATCACGAACATCGCCATCAATATTGGCATCAACATCGCCATCACCATCAACAACATCACCATTGACATCGCCATCAACATTGCCATCAACATCGCCATCAATTTTACCATCAGTATCGCCATCAATATCACCATCGGCATCACCATAAAAATTACCATCAATATTGCCCTCAACATCACCATCAACATCACCATCAACATCGCCGTCACTTTCCAGCTTCAGCAGCAGGCGCATCTTACAGATGACAAGTCGATGGTCAGTGGGCAGATCAGCTCCACGGTAGGTCCTGTTATCAAGGACATGGGCTTACATCCGCTGTTTCGTCACTATGTAGTCCAGCAGATGTTCCTGCTTGGACCCGGCATGCATCCATGATGTTGTGTGGATGCGCCGATGCCGAAACAGTGTGTTGGTAATTACAAGCCAATGGGCTGCACAGAAGTTTAGCAGCCTCGTAGCATTGTGTTTGAGCTGATCTGGCCCATGCCTTCCAATCACTCCAGACCAGGTGCCAGCATCAGAACCTGCTCGGGCATTAAAGTCACCCAACAGGATGACTCTATCCTAAGGGGCGTAAGCTACCACTACCACTCCTCGCCTCTGGTTGATGGGAAGGTAAGCCCACAGTAGCCTGGGGCTTACAGCTTCCCACAAATCACCGCCATGCTTCCACACCCCTTCATTATATTGTTCAGAAGAAGAGCCACTCCTATTGTTTGGCAGTCTCCTGCCCCAAGTCGAGGACTGTCCACCCCTCATCTGACTGGAGCCAGAGCCCGTCCACTGGACCCCCCTGTATTCCACACATAGATTCAGGCAGTACCGGTCCAGCTCCTGAAGAGGAGTGGCGACCTCTCCTCCACACTGAGCGTTTGGACATTCCACGTGGCCACCCACCGTGGTTTCCTGCTGTCTCTGGAAGAATCCCGAGGGGAGGGGTATAGTCTGGCTCCACCAAATGGGGTTTGGCCAGAAGATGCTTGTCCCATACATACGTACATATGTACGTCCACTCAGGGAATCCGGGACAAGCTTATTATAGTATGTTCACCGTGATTAATTGGTAAGGTGATTCTAAAATGGCGGGGTTACCAGCCCTTTGCATACTGTAATGGAGACATGCATACACACAAATTAACACAGTGACACATAGCCACACGCAGAGACACACAGGCAATCTCTTTGAAACACTTAACAGCAATTGAAACACCACACATACTTCTACAGACGTATACATTACTCACCTCACCCTAACTGACATAAATTAACTTAACACTTAGACACCGCCACCTCCTCAGCTGCTTAAATATAACCACAAGACAAAGACAAGTGTTGTCATCACATCTACCCCTCTATTTAAGGAACGAAACAGGTGGACTTCTCCACAAATCTGGCTGTCGCCTGATGATGCTAGTTGTAATTGCTGGCGAAACGTCGTACTCAGATTGTAAATGTTGTGGCTTGGCTCTCCAACACACCGGTACGCTAGTAACGAATTGGCACGTTCTGTTTACGTGACAAACCTTACAAATTGGCTGTGTCGGGTGGTGGCGGGTTTAACGACACATTTATATTTTTAAGTGGTAGAATCCAAAATACCTGTATTGTGGATGATATTGGTCGCGAAAGCCTACTTGTTAAATATCCTTCGTAGCCGTAACTGTGCGGCAAGAGCTGTTAGCGAGCACCACTGCAGGCCGGCACGGCACACGAGGGGCTGGGTGGCCAGCACCACAGCAGTAGCGATGCTTACCCACTGCACCAGGTACTGATTTGGGACGTAGACGACCTAGGGGAGGCCCAGGATTCGCCACTGGGTTGATGGCCTTGAGCGGGAATCGAACTCGGGTCGCCGGGTTTGTGGTGGAGCGCGGCACTAATCCGCTGCCCTACATCACCACAGACACTCACCACACTCATTGTAACCAACTCTTGTTCAGAAGCGACCTGGCCATGACAAATGAGAGCTCAAACAAGTGACTGCTTATTATCATCATCGTCGTAGTGACGTGGGAATTTATAGCAGAAGCCAAACAACTCTAAAACACGTGGTGGAGACGTTGATTCTAAACATGGAGGGGAAAACCAGAGGACCCGGAGAAAAATCCACGCGACCATGGGGAAAGAGATGCAGACTCCAAATATACAGCAGCAGGCATCGTCAGGGTCGGGATCGAACCCACGACCTCCTGTAGACCAGGCGAGGTAGTTAACATCTCCTAGCCACCGTGATGATGAACGAGAAACGCAGACTCCAAATATACAGCAGCAGGCATCGTCAGGGTCAAGGATCGAACCCACGACCTCCTGTAGACTAGGCGAGGTAGTTAACATCTCCTAGCCACCGTGATGATGAACGAGAAACGCAGACTCCAAATATACAGCAGCAGGCATCGTCAGGGTCAAGGATCGAACCCACGACCTCCTGTAGACCAGGCGAGGTAGTTAACATCTCCTAGCCACCGTGATGATGAACGAGAAACGCAGACTCCAAATATACAGCAGCAGGCATCGTCAGGGTCAAGGATCGAACCCACGACCTCCTGTAGACCAGGCGAGGTAGCTAACATCTCCTAGCCACCGTGATGCCCCAAAACACACACTCATCGCTCACCACACTCACTCATCGCTCACCACACTCACTCATCGCTCACCACACTCACTCATCGCTCACCACTTACCTCACCACTCACGCAGCCGTCTGTGTCTCTGCAGATTTACCTCCTCTTGAAGGAGCCAGTGTTCCATCAGGTGAGGACGATCACACAGCTGATGGTGCACCTAGCCTGGCACTGGGGATAACACTGATTTTATTGATCTTGATGACTTCAAGGGTGATGTCCATGGTGCTAGTGTTGGTGATGTTAATGATTGCGGTGATGTTGCTGTAGTTCATGTTGATGGTGGTGATGTTGTTGATCATGATCCTGATGATGATGATGTTGTTGACATTGGCGATATTGATGGTGGTGGTGATGTTTCTGTAGGTCATGTTGATGGTGGTGATGCTGTTGGTGATGTAGTTGGTGGTGGTGGTGGTGATGTTCGTGGTGATGATGTTGGTGGTGATGTTGGTAGTGATAATGTTGATGATATTACTGTAGATGGTAATGTTGATGGTGGTGGTGATGTTGGTGATATTTGTGATCTTGATGGTCGTGATGTTGATGATGGTGTCGGTGGTGACGATGATGACGATATTGATAGTGGTGATGTTTATTTTGGTGATGTTGATGTTGTTGATATTGGTGATTTTGATGTGTGGTTATGTTGGTGAGCATGATCCTGGTGATGAAGTTGTTGATATTGGCGATATTGATGGTGGTGGTGATGTTAATGCTGGTTATGATGATCATGATGCTGATGTTAATGGTGATGTTTTCGGGTGAGCTGAGAGAAACGGGCGGCCCACTCCCAGTGTCCACGCGTAAGCAGGCTTCTCTTGGAGGTTCAGAGAGCCGTGCGGTTCTCTGAATTGGGTACACGGTCCAGACCTTCCTTCCCCACCTCCCCCCCTCCCGAGACCCTGGCTGATGGAGGAGGTGTTCCGGTTGACTGCGAAAGAGCGATAGGCTCACTCCCACCGTCTGCACCGCATCCCACGTCAAAAAATGAGGAGGCTTACCACAACCTTCGCTCGGAGGTTCGGAGAGCCGTGTGGCACTGCAAGGATGGGTGGTGGTCGCGGGTCGCTGAGGAGATGGAAAATACCTCGTTAGCCCACGATCACAAATCACTCTTTCATTCCATCACAAACGTAACTTGCAGCACCAAACTGATCAACATCCTTAAGGGAAAGAACGGTGATCCGATCTCCGACCCCTGAGGGGAAATCCCTCGGTTCAAAAGATACCATTGGACAGGGTGGGGATGACCCTGCCGGGGCTGCTGTGCCTCAAATATTGGAGGAAGTAGCCCCCCCCATTATGAGTGGCTGGTTGGCATCCCATCTTCTGAGAAAGTACAAGGGGTGATCCAGAGTCTGAGACCATGAAAAGCGCCAGGCAGAGATGATTTCCCAAGCACAATGCTGAGGGAAGGTGGCATCTGTGTGCAGACTGCCCTACATGATATCATCACAACTGTCTGGACCACTGGACGGGTTCCACAGGATGGGAAGGATGCCCTGGTGGTCCCCCTCTTTAAGAAAGGGGACCGCACAGACTGTAACAACTACAGGGGCATCTCACTCCTCAGTGTGCCGGGTAAGGTCCTGGCAAGGATTATTCACCATCGCCTTGCCAGACACGCTGAGGAGAGGCTTGCGGAGCCCCAATGTGCTTTTATACTGAGGCGGTCCTGCACAGATGCCATATTCTCTGTTCGTCTGCTACAGCAGAGGTGTAGGGAATTCCCACAGGACCTACATCTCTGCTTTATTGACCTGGTCGTGACCTATGATACCATCAACAGGGCATGGATCTGGGTTGGTCTTCGTGCTTTCTAATTCCCTGACTCTCTGCTCACAATAATTAAGGACCTTCATGATGGTGGGCAGCCCTGGCTAAATCTACGTGGCCGGGAATCGGAGCCATTCCCTGTTCACCTTGGGATGTCCTCTGGCCACTACACTCTTTTATACATTTTCGACCAGTTAATTTGAGAAGCTTTCAATGGCTGTACGAGTAGAATTTCCATCTGGTACAGATACAATGGGAGACGGATTGATGCCTAGGTGCGGTCGAGGGATGGCTCCCAATTGGTCAACCATGTTGCGTATGCTAATGAGCTGGTGATTGCTGCTCACTCAGAAGAGGAGTTGGAGGCTCTGCTGCTGAACATGGAGCATGGCACTCAGAGGTGGGGTCTTACCGTCAGCACCACGAAAACGAAGCACCTGCTTGGGTATTTTATGTTATCAAACGCTCCACCCCCTCCACTCCTCATGAGTGATGGAGCAGTTGCAGAGAGAGTGGAGAGGTTTCCATACCTGAGCAGAATGCTTATGACCAGCTCCGGTTTGGCAGCAGAGGTCTCGCTGTGAATCAGCCGAGCGGCATTATCCTTTTCATCAGCTGCATAACTCTGTGTGGAAGCTACCTGGTCTGTCACTCCGCACAAAGCTTCGGATCATCTCGACCACAGTCATGCCCTCCCTTCTATATACTTGTGAAACGTGGATCTCTCTAATTGAACATCTGCGCCGGTTTGAAACATTTCGGCTGGTCTGCCTCCGATCCATCCTGGGTTTAACCAGGCTGGATTGTGTGAGGAACTCAAAAATCCTTGAAAGATCTGGACACAGTCTCATCAGTGAACTCCTCCGGCAAGCAAGGCTGCACTGGCTGGGTCATATAGCCTGCATCCCCAGCCACTACATGCCCAAGCAGCTTCTGTTTGGCTGGATAGAGGGGCCTAAACGGGCACCACATGGACTAAAGAGGAAATGGACTGATGCAGTACAGGAGGATGTGAGCTGAGTGGACTTGCTGATGACTGGTACCAGCGGTGTCAAAATCGGCCGAGGCTCGTAAAGGAGGCTCTTGGACAGTTGGAGGAAGTCGCCATCCAACAACAACAGAGAGCAGAGGAGCGACGCTAACAACAACGAGTGGAGCACTGGGCAAGCTAAAACACAGCAAGTTGCCACAGTAGGGGGCACAGGTGGTGGTTCATCTGCCAGTCATCTCAGTCAGCCAACCCATGACACCTGGGTCTGTCCCATGACCTCCTGTCAGCGAGCCTTCGAAACTTCACGTGGCCACAAAGTGCCCCTGGCCTGGCACAAGCGCCGTGGTGACTTCACCGCTATTTGGTGGCCAACAGTGGTGGTTTTTGTTTGATGTTGATGGGGGTGGTGATGAAGTTGCTGTAGGTGACGTTGCACTTGGTGATGTTGATGGTGGTGGCGATGCTGTAGGTGATGGGTGTTATGTTGATTGTGATGGTGGTGATGTTGCTGTACATTATCGTGGTTAAGTTGATTGCAATGTTGATGGTGGTGATGGTGATTTTGGTAAATGGTGATGGTGGTGATGATGTTGCTGTAGGTGATGGTGGTGAAGTTGATTGCGATGATGACATTGATGGTGATGTTGATGATGGTGACGATGTTGGTGTTGATGGTGATGGTGGCGATGTTGGTGTTGATGCTCATTGATGTTGATGATGGTGATGTTGATGGTGATCATGTTGCTGTAGGTGACTTTGCACTAGGTGATCATTGTGGTGATGTTGATGATGTTGATGATGTTGATGATGCTGCTGCTGCAGGTGATGTACGGGATGCTCGTCTGCTTCCTCGTCGTCCGTGGAGTCTACATCGCGTTCTGGTACCGAGTGCTCGTGATGCCTTTCGTGGTGGTGGTAGTGGTTGTTGTGGTTGTGGTGGGAGTGGTGTGGAGAGTCGGTTTAACACGGAGGCTTTCACGACCAGTATTATTCATAATAAAGGTTTTTGGGTTAGATTTTGTGTCATAACCCTCCACCACCCGACACGGCCACTCAGTAAAAAAAGTGTCACGTTGACAAAAGAGAAAATAGTTCACTACTTTAGCCCACCGGTGTGTTGAAGAGTGAATCCACAACATTTACAACTTGAGTATGGGGCAGTCCATAAATGACGTCACGCTATTTTGGACGATTTTTGACCCCCCCCCTTCCTTCGTCACACGACGTCACGAAAAGTCAGACCCCCCCCCCCTCAAATATGACGTCACAAAAGCTCTGTCCCCCGCCCCCCCCCCGTGACGTCACATTTATCAAACCCCCTACCCCCCCTTCATCACATATCGTCACAAATGTCTGACCCCAACCCCCCCCCCCCTAGGTGTGTGACGTCATTTATGGACGGCCCCTATGACGTTTCGCTGGAAATTACATCCAGCATCTTCGGCCGATCTGCACTTTTTCAAACCGGGAGCAAGTGGAGGGCTTCACGATTCGGGCAAATCGCCCGATGAAGCTGGATGTAATTTCCAGCGAAACGTCGTACTACTCAAGAATTGTAAATGTCGTGGATTCACTCTTCAACACACCGGCGGGCTAAAGTAGTGAACTATTTTGTCTTTTGTCAACGTGACACAAGTTTTTACTGATTGGCCGTGTCGGGTGGTGGAGGGTTGCGACACATTTATAAATAACGCGATCTAAGCCAAAAACCTTTATTATGGCGTGGAGAGTGGTTGTGGTTGCAGTGGTGTTGAGTGTGGTTGTGGTGGGAGTGGTGTTGATTGGTTGTGGTTGGAGCAGTCTTGGGTGGTTGTGGTGGGACTGGTTGTGGTTAGAGGGGTGTTGAGAGTGGTTGTGGTTAGAGTGGTGTTGGGTGGTTGTGGTTGGAGTGGTGTTGGGTGGTTGTGGTTGAAGTGGTGTTGGGTGGTTGTGGTTGGAGTGGTGTTGGGTGGTTGTGGTTGGAGTGGTGTTGGGTGGTTGTGGTTGGAGTGGTGTTGGGTGGTTGTGGTTGGAGTGGTGTTGGGTGGTTGTGGTTGGAGTGGTGTTGGGTGGTTGTGGTTGAAGTGGTGTTGGGTGGTTGTGGTTGGAGTGGTGTTGAGTGGTTGTGGTTGAAGTGGTGTTGGGTGGTTGTGGTTGGAGTGGTGTTGAGTGGTTGTGGTTGAAGTGGTGTTGGGTGGTTGTGGTTGGAGTGGTGTTGGGTGGTTGTGGTTGGAGTGGTGTTGGGTGGTTGTGGTTGGAGTGGTGTTGGGTGGTTGTGGTTGGAGTGGTGTTGGGTGGTTGTGGTTGGAGTGGTGTTGGGTGGTTGTGGTTGGAGTGGTGTTGGGTGGTTGTGGTTGGAGTGGTGTTGGGTGGTTGTGGTTGGAGTGGTGTTGGGTGGCTGTGGTGGAGTGGTGTTGGGTGGTTGTGGTTGGAGTGTGTGTTGGGTGGTTGTGGTTGGAGTGGTGTTGGGTGGCGTGGTGTTCTATTGTTGCGCTTGACGGCGATGTGGTTCAGGAGCTCGATGCTCAATGTGGAGGTCCTGCAGCAGCTGCTGCTGCTGCTGTCTCTGCTGCTGCTGTCTCTGCTGCTGCTGTCTCTGCTGCTGTCTCTGCTGCTGCTGTCTCTGCTGCTCTGCTGTCTCTGCTGCTGCTGCTGTCTCTGCTGCTGCTGTCCTCTGCTGCTGCTGTCTCTGCTGCTGCTGCTGTTCTCTGCTGCTGCTGTCTCTGCTGCTGCTGTCTCTGCTGCTGCTGTCTCTGCTGGCTGCTGCTGTCTCTGCTGCTGCTGTCTCTGCTGCTGCTGTCTCTGCTGCTGCTGCTGTCTCTGCTGCTGCTGTCTCTGGCTGCTGCTGTCTCTTGCTGCTGTCTCTGCTGCTGCTGCTGTCTCTGCGGCTGCTTGTCGCTGCTGTGCTGCTGTCTCTGCTGCTGCTGTCTCTGCTGCTGTGCTGTCTCTGCTGCTGCTGTCTCTGCTGCTGCTGTCTCTGCTGCTGCTGTCTCTGCTGCTGCTGCTGTCTCTGCTGCTGTCTCTGCTGCTGCTGTCTCTGCTGCTGCTGTCTCTGCTGCTGCTGTCTCTGCTGCTGCTGTCTCTGCTGCTGTCTGCTGCTGCTGTCTGCTGCTGCTGTCTTGCGTGCTGTCTCTGCTGCTGTCTCTGCTGGCTGTCTCTGCTGCTGCTGTCTCTGCTGCTGCTGTCTCTGCTGCTGCTGTCTCTGCTGCTGCTGCTGTCTCTGCTGCTGTCTCTGCTGCTGCTGTCTCTGCTGCTGCTGCTGTCTCTGCTGCTGTCTCTGCTACTGCTGCTCTCTGCTACTGCTGCTGTCTCTGCTGCTGTCTCTGCTGCTGTCTCTGCTGCTGCTGCTGTCTCTGCTGCTGTCTCTGCTACTGCTGCTGTCTCTGCTACTGCTGCTGTCTCTGCTGCTGCTGTCCTGCTACTGCTGCTGCTGCTGGTGTCTCTGCTACTGCTGCTGCTGCTGATGTCTCTGCTACTGCTGCTGTCTCTGCTACTGCTGCTGTCTCTGCTACTGCTGCTGTCTCTGCTACTGCTGCTGCTGCTGATGTCTCTGCTGCTGCTGCTGTCTCTGCTACTGCTGCTGTCTCTGCTACTGCTGCTGTCTCTGCTACTGCTGCTGTCTCTGCTGCTGCTGCTGTCTCTGCTACTGCTGCTGCTGCTGGTGTCTCTGCTACTGCTGCTGCTGCTGATGTCTCTGCTACTGCTGCTGTCTCTGCTACTGCTGCTGTCTCTGCTACTGCTGCTGCTGCTGCTGTCTCTGCTACTGCTGCTGTCTCTGCTACTGCTGCTGTCTCTGCTGCTGCTGCTGTCTCTGCTACTGCTGCTGCTGCTGTCTCTGCTACTGCTGCTGTCTCTGCTGCTACTGCTGCTGTCTCTGCTGCTGCTGCTGTCTCTGCTACTGCTACTGCTGCTGTCTCTGCTACTGCTGTCTCTGCTACTGCTGCTGTCTCTGCTACTGCTGCTGTCTCTGCTGCTGCTGCTGCTGCTGCTGCTGCTGTCTCTGCTACTGCTGCTGCTACTGCTGCTGCTGCTGTCTCTGCTGCTGCTGTCTCTGCTGCTGCTGCTGTCTCTGATACTGCTGCTGCTGCTGTCTCTGATACTGCTGCTGCTGCTTGTCTCTGCTACTGCTGCTGTCTCTGCTACTGCTGCTGCTGCTGTCTCTGCTACTGCTGCTGTCTCTGCTACTGCTGCTGTCTCTGCTACTGCTGCTGCTGCTGTCTCTGCTGCTGCTGCTGTCTCTGCTACTGCTACTGCTGCTGTCTCTGCTACTGCTGCTGTCTCTGCTGCTGCTGTCTCTGCTACTTCTGCTGCTGCTGCTACTGCTGCTGTCTCTGCTACTGCTGCTGTCTCTGCTGCTGCTGTCTTTGCTGCTGCTGCTGTCTCTGCTGCTGCTGTCTCTGCTACTGCTGCTGTCTCTGCTACTGCTGCTGCTGCTGTCTCTGCTGCTGCTGCTGCTGTCTCTGCTACTGCTACTGCTGCTGCTGCTGTCTCTGCTACTGCTGCTGTCTCTGCTGTTGCTGTCTCTGCTACTGCTGCTGCTGCTGTCTCTGCTGCTGCTGCTGTCTCTGCTGCTGCTGCTGTCTTTGCTGCTGCTGCTGCTGCTGCTACTGCTGCTGCTGCTGTCTCTGCTGCTGCTGCTGTCTCTGCTACTGCTACTGCTGCTGCTGCCCTCTCTGCTGCTGCTGCTGTCTCTGCTACTGCTGCTGTCTCTGCTACTGCTGCTGTCTCTGCTACTGCTGCTGCTGCTGTCTCTGCTACTGCTGCTGTCTCTGCTACTGCTGCTGTCTCTGCTGCTGCTGTCTCTGCTACTGCTGCTGCTGCTGCTGTCTCTGCTACTGCTGCTGTCTCTGCTGCTGCTGCTGCTGCTGCTACTGCTGCTGCTACTGCTGCTGCTGCTACTGCTGCTGTCTCTGCTGCTGCTGCTGTCTCTGCTACTGCTGCTGTCTCTGCTACTGCTGCTGCTGCTACTGCTGCTGCTGCTACTGCTGCTGCTGCTACTGCTGCTGCTGTCTCTGCTACTGCTGCTGCTGTCTCTGCTACTGCTGCTGTCTCTGCTGCTGTTGCTGCTGCTGCTACTGCTGCTGCTACTGCTGCTGTCTCTGCTGCTGTTGCTACTGCTGCTGCTGCTGCTGCTACTGCTGCTGTCTCTGCTGCTGTTGCTGCTGCTGCTGCTGTCTCTGCTACTGCTGCTGCTGTCTCTGTTACTGCTGCTGCTGCAGCTGCTGCTGTCTCTGCTACTGCTGCTGTTGCAGCTGTCTGTGCTGCTGCTGCTGTTGCTGTTGCTGCTGCTGCTGTCTCTGCTACTGCTGCTGTCTCTGCTGCTGCTGTTGCTGCTGCTGTCTCTGCTACTGCTGCTGTTGCTGCTGCTGTCTCTGCTACTGCTGCTGTTGCTGCTGCTGCTGTTTCTGCTGCTGCTGTCTCTGCTACTGCTGCTGTCTCTGCTGCTGCTGCTGTTGCTGCTGCTGCTGTCTATGCTACTGCTGCTGTCTCTGCTACTGCTGCTGTTTCTGCTACTGCTGCTGTTTCTGCTACTGCTGCTGTCTCTGCTACTGCTGCTGTTGCAGCTGTTGCTGTCTCTGCTACTGCTGCTGTTGCAGCTGTCTGTGCTGCTGCTGCTGTTGCTGCTGCTGTCTCTGCTACTGCTGCTGTCTCTGCTGCTGCTGTTGCTGCTGCTGCTGTCTCTGCTACTGCTGCTGTTGCTGCTGCTGCTGCTGTCTCTGCTACTGCTGCTGTCTCTGCTGCTGCTGCTGTTGCTGCTGCTGCTGTCTCTGCTACTGCTGCTGTCTCTGCTACTGCTGCTGTTTCTGCTACTGCTGCTGTCTCTGCTACTGCTGCTGGTGCAGCTGCTGCTGTCTCTGCTACTGCTGCTGTTGCTGCTGTTTCTGCTACTGCTGCTGTTGCAGCTGCTGCTATCTCTGCTACTGCTGCTGTCTCTGCTGCTGCTGTTGCTGCTGCTGCTGCTTCTGCTACTGCTGCTGTCTCTGCTACTGCTGCTGTCTCTGCTGCTGCTGTCTCTGCTACTGCTGCTGCTGCTACTGCTGCTGCTGCTGTCTCTGCTGCTGCTGTCTCTGCTACTGCTGCTGTCTCTGCTGCTGCTGCTGCTGCTACTGCTGCTGCTGCTACTGCTGCTGCTGCTACTGCTGCTGTCTCTGCTACTGCTGCTGCTGTCTCTGCTACTGCTGCTGTCTCTGCTACTGCTGCTGCTGTCTCTGCTGCTGCTGTCTCTGCTACTGCTGCTGTCTCTGCTACTGCTGCTGCTGCTACTGCTGCTGTCTCTGCTGCTGCTGTCTCTGCTACTGTTGCTGTCTCTGCTACTGCTGCTGTCTCTGCTGCTGCTGCTGCTACTGCTGTCTCTGCTACTGCTGCTGTCTCTGCTACTGCTGCTGCTGTCTCTGCTGCTGCTGTCTCTGCTACTGCTGCTGTCTCTGCTGCTGCTGCTGTCTCTGCTACTGCTGCTGTCTCTGCTACTGCTGCTGCTGCTGCTACTGCTGCTGCTACTGCTGCTGCTGTCTCTGCTACTGCTGCTGCTGCTGTCTCTGCTACTGCTGCTGTCTCTGCTACTGCTGCTGTCTCTGCTGCTGCTGCTGCTGCTGCTACTGCTGCTGCTACTGCTGCTGCTGTCTCTGCTACTGCTGCTGCTGTCTCTGCTACTGCTGCTGCTGTCTCTGTTACTGCTGCTGTCTCTGCTACTGCTGCTGTTGCAGCTGCTGCTGTCTCTGCTACTGCTGCTGTTGCAGCTGTTGCTGTCTCTGCTACTGTTGCTGTCTCTGCTACTGCTGCAGTTGCAGCTGTCTCTGCTGCTGCTGCTGTTGCTGCTGCGGCTGTCTCTGCTACTGCTGCTGTCTCTGCTGCTGCTGCTGCTGTCTCTGCTACTGCTGCTGTTTCTGCTACTGCTGCTGTTGCTGCTGCTGTCTCTGCTACTGCTGCTGTCTCTGCTGCTGCTGCTGCTGTTGCTGCTGCTGCTGTCTCTGCTACTGCTGCTGTCTCTGCTACTGCTGCTGTTGCTGTCTCTGCTACTGCTACTGTTTATGCTACTGCTGCTGTCTCTGCTACTGCTGCTGTTGCAGCTGCTGCTGTCTCTGCTACTGCTGCTGTTGCTGCTGTTTCTGCTACTGCTGCTGTTGCAGCTGCTGCTATCTCTGCTGCTGCTGTTGCTGCTGCTGCTGTCTCTGCTACTGCTGCTGTTGCTGCTGCTGCTGTCTCTGCTACTGCTGCTGTCTCTGCTGCTGCTGCTGTGTCTGCTACTGCTGCTGTCTCTGCTGCTGCTGTCTCTGCTACTGCTACTGTCTCTGCTACTGCTGCTTTCTCTGCTGCTGCTGTTTCTGCTGCTGTCTCTGCTACTGCTGCTGCTGCTTCTGCTGCTGTTTCTGCTGCTGTTGTTGTTGCTGCTACTGCAGCTGTTGTTGATGCTGCTTCTGCTGCTGTTTCTGCTGCTGTTGTTGTTGCTGCTACTGTTGCTGTTGTTGCTCCTGCTGGTGCTGCTTCCGTTGCTGTTGCAGCTGTTTCTGCTTCTGATGCTGCTGTTGCTGCTGTTGCTGCTTCTGCTGCCGATGTTGCTGTTGCTGCTGCTGTTGCTGCTGCTGCTTAATCAGAGACAGTTTGTGGAGTTTTTGCCATTCCTCCTTCTCTTTTTCCTCCGTCTAAGGCAGGGGTCGGCAACCAAAATAACAAGAAGAGCCATTTCTTTCCAATTCGGTACAAAATTCAGTATTTCAAGAGCCGCAATGCATCTGAGTACATACTGTACATACGTACTCATCGTCAAGAAGCAGCCTGTAAAGAGCCGCATGCGGCTCCGGAGCCGCATGCGGCTCCGGAGCCGCATGCGGCTCCGGAGCCGCAGGTTGCCGACCCCTGGTCTAAGGAGTTCAGAATACAGTGGTGTAGCTTGTGTGGCCTTCGTGTGTCTCCACGAGACTCTACGGATCTTAATGAGTCTCTATGTGTCTCCATGAGTCTTTGTGTGCCTCCATGGATTTCCATGAGACTCTGGATCTCTCTGAGTCTCTATGTGTCTCCATGTGTCTCCATGTGTCTCCATGAGTCTCGATGTGTCTCCATGAGTCTCTATAGATTTATCTGAGTCTCTGTGTCTCCATTCGTCTCTATGGATCTCTCTGACTCTCTGTCTCCATGAGTCTCTATGGATCTCTCGGAGTCTCGATGTGTCTCCATGAGTCTCTATAGATTTATCTGAGTCTCTGTGTCTCCGTGAGTCTATGGATCTCTCTGACTCTCTGTCTCCATGAGTCTCTATTGATCTCTCTGAGTCTCGATGTGTCTCCATGAGTCTCTATAGATTTATCTGAGTCTCTGTGTCTCCATGAGTCTATGGATCTCTCTGACGCTGTGTCTCCATGAGTCTCTTGATCTCTCTGACTCTGTCTCCATGAGTCTCTATGGATTTCTCTGAGTCTCGATGTATCTCCATGAGTCTCTATGGATCTATCTGTGTCTCTGTGTCTCCATGCATCTCTATGGATCTCTCTGAGTCTCTATGCGTCTCCATGAGTCTCTATGGAACTGTCTGAGTGTACTGCCTAGTCTAATTGTTTTGGCTGCATGCCCACCGTTGCACGACTGTGGCAGTGTCTTTAATTTTTCATTCATGAAGGAGATGTGTGCATCCGCCTGGTGCTGGTCTGATGTGGTTGATGGTCACCCCAGTGGTGAATGGGTGGGTAAGTGGATGGGTGAGTGGGTGAATGAGTGGGTGAGTGAGTGGGTGGGTTGGTGAGTGAGTGGGTGGGTTGGTAAGTGAGTGGCATGTCTTTCAGGATGAGGAATCTCAAAGCCAGGAGGTTGCGGTGATGTTTCGGTCTCAAATGAGGTGTTTCTTTTGGATGTCCGTGTTATTCCACTCTGTTCGCCGCGTTCTTCCAGGTCTGGGTGAGATTCTAAGATGGCGACAGCAATCCCAGCTACTAGACCAGGCTGGAGCATAGTGACTGACACTGAGTGGATCAGTGATGGTTGTGGTGGTTGTGGTGGTTGCTGTGGTTGTAGTAGTTGTGGTTGTTCCTGCTGTGGTGGTAGGAGTAATTGTGGTGATGGTTGTGGTTGCTGTGGTTGCAGCGGTGGTGGTTGCTATGATTGTGGTTGCTATGATGATGGTTGCTATGGTGATGGTGGTGCAGGGTCCTCCCGTGCCTGCAGCCCCTCATGTTCTCCTCGCTCGCCTCCTTCCTCCTCGGCTTCATCCTCTGGAACCTCGACAACAACTTCTGCCCCACGTGGAGGTTAGGGGTCACCGGGTCACGACGGTCTTGGGGTCACGAGATGTTAACTACCTCGCCTGGTATGCAGAAGATTGTGGGTTCGATCCCGACTCTGACGCCTCTGTATATCGGGAGTTTGTATGCTGTTCTCTCTCTCTCACCGTGGTCGCGTGGATTTTTCTCCGGGCCCTCCGGTTGTCCCCTCCACATGTATAATCAACATCACCACACGTATAGAGTATTTGGCTGATGCTATAAATGTCCACGTGGTAAAATAAAAACATAGTTTAGTTGAGGGTGACGGGTTGCTAAGTTACAGCTCACAGGGTCCGCACAGAGGTCAGACTGACATGGGGAATATTGAAGATGACGCTGATGTTGATGATGTGGGCGATGGGATACAGGTGATGGTGGTTGTTGATTGTTGATGTCTTAATCTTTGGAAGAACGTAATCATCCAGGCTATGCGATAACTCCTCTGGCCGCTATGGGCAGGAATTCCACACAACTCTCTCATTGTTCTCTACCCCAATTCCCCCCCCCTCTCTATTTAAGGCCTCGACACAGAGGCGTTGTCTTTCTGTTTGTCTATGTGTGTGTCTCTCTCTGTCTCTGGGTGTGTCTCTCTCTGTGTCTCTCTCTGCTTGTGTCTATGTGTCTCCGTGTCTGTGTTTTGTCTCTCAAATTTAGCAATCTTTGGAAGAACGTAATCAGTCAGATAGGGTGTTGACTGTTGTGTTAGCCGACTCTGTGTTGTATTGCATTATATTTCTAAGTTTACTTCATTCTTACCTGATGATGGTTGCTTGTGTTGCAATCGAAACGTCGTATTCCATTATTATTTAATTTATTTTCTTTCTACGTGACTTGCCCAAAATAACCAAAGAGTAATTCCTGCAGTCACGAGAGCTTCGAATCTAGTTTGAAACGTCGTGATTTATTTTATTTTATACCTACGTGACTTTACTGAAAGAACCAAAGAGTATAGTTTGAGCTTTTATTTGGCCGGATAGAGGGGGCTGAACAGGCGCAGCACGGGCTAGAGAAGAGATGGAGTGATGTGGTACAGGAGGACGTGAAGCTGAGTGGACTTGTCGATGACTGGGACCAGCGGTGTCAAGATCGGCCTCTGTGGAGGAGGCTCGTGAAGGACGCTACTGGGCAGTTAGAGGCAACGGAGGGAAGAGCAGAGCGCTTTGCGGTTAAAACACAGCAAGTTGGCACAGTAGGGGGCACAGGTGGTGGTGCATCTGCAGGTCGTCTCAGTCAGTCGACCCATGCAAACCTGCAGGGTCTGTCCGGTGACCTGCCAACGGGCATTTGATACTTCATGTGGCCTTAAAGTGCACTTAGCATGGCACAAGCGCCATTGTGACATCACCGCTACCTAGTGACGAATGGCTGTTGTGTGCATGACGAGGTGAGTGACGAGGTGAGTGTGATGAGGTGAGTGACGAGGTGAGTGTGACGAGGTGTGCAGGAGGGTGAGGGTCTCCATGCTGCCCACGTCTCTGGGCGCCGTGTCGCAGCTCCACGCATGGTGGCACCTCCTGTCGGGCCTCGGCTCGTACCTGCACATCCTGTTCAGGTGGCGTCACCATCACCAACATCACCGCAGCCATCGGCAACATCACCGTCACCAACATTGTAATCACGATCACCATCGCCAACATCACGGTCACCAACATTATAATCATCATCGCCAACATAATCAAAATCACCAAACGCATCATCGCTAACATCCTCACCATCATCAATATCCCCAACATTATCAACATCATCATCAACAGCCACGATTCGACACTTAAGTGTCAGTGACATCACCACGGCGCCTGTGCCAGGCCAGGTGCACGTTGAGGCCACGTTAAGTGTCGAAGACTCGCTGACAGGAGGTCATGGGACAGATCCAGCAGGTGCCATGGGTTGACTGACCGAGATGGCTGGCAGATGCACCATCTGTGCCCCCTACTGTGCCAACTTCCTGAAATTTTTCCGCCTGACTCTCGGATCATTGTTGTGAGTGTCACTCCTCTGCCCTCTGTTGTTGTTGGAGGGCGACTGCCTCCAAATGCCCAGTAGCGTCCTTCATGAGTCTTCTCCACAGAGGCCGATGTTGACATCGCTGATACCAGTCTTTGGCAAGTCCACGCAACTCCACATCCTCCCATACCGCATCAACCCATCTCTTCTCCAGCCCGTGCCATGCCCGTTTAGCCCTCTCTCTCCGGCCAAACAGAATCCACTTGGGCATGCGGTGGCTGGACATGCGGGCTACATGACCCACTCAACTCAGTCTTGCCTGCTGAAGGAGCGCACTGATGGGACTGTGTCCAGATATTTCAAGAATGTGTGAGCTCCTCACACAATTTAGCCTGGTTAAACCCAGGGTGGGTTGTAGGTAGGCCAGCCTGAATGTTTCTAACCAGCGCCGATGTTCCATTAGAGGAGGGGTCCACGTTTCACAAGCATAGAAAAGAGAGGGAATTACTGTGGCTGAAAAGACCCGAAGCTGACAGGCCAGGTAAATTCCACGCAGCTTTATGCAGCCGAGGAAAAGACAATGCCACCTGACTGATTCGGAGTGAGACCTCTGCTGTGAAATTGGAGCTGGTCATAAGTACATTGCCCAGGTATGCAAAACGCTCCACTCTATACAAACCTGCTCCATCACCAATGGCGAGTTGAGGGGATGGAGCGTTTGACGGTACAAAATACCCATGCAGGTGCTTAGTTTTGGTGGTGCAGATGGTAAGACCTCACCTCTTAGTGGCACACTCTGGATTTAGCAGCAGCACCTACAACTTCTCCTCTTAGTGAGCAGCATTCACCAGACCATCAGCAAGCCTCTCCACAGCGTGCCTGGCAAGGCGATTTTGAATAATCCTTGCCAGAACATTTCCCTACACACTGAGGAGAGAGATGTCCCGGTAGTTGTTACAATCAAGGGCACCCTTCCAATTCTGTGGAACCCATCCTATGGTCTACACAATTGTGCACACACATGCCACCTTCCCTCAGCATTTCGCTTGGGAGATCCTCTCTGCCCGGCACTTTTCCTGGTCTCAAACTCTGGATCGTCTCTTGTGCTTCCTCGACAGATGGTATCTCAGCCAAACACTCAGAAGGGGTGGCTACTTCTGCCAATATTTGAGGCACAGCAGCCCCAGCAGGGTCGTCCCCACCTTGCCCCATTTTATTGTCTTTGCTGAGGGAATTATCCTCGACAGACCTGATAGAAATGCTCTGCAAACTTGCATTTAGTTCCTGGGGGTCAGAGATCAGATTATCGTTCTTTCCGTTAAGGATGGTGATAGGTGAGGTACTGCAAGTATCTTTTTGGATGGATTTAAAGATGGATTTGTGATCGCGGGCTACTGAGGCAGACTCCATCTCCTCAGCAATCCGCAACCACCACCCATTCTTGCAGCGCCGCACGGCTCTCCGAACCTCCGAGCGAAGGCTGTGGTAAGCCTCCTCATTCTTCGACGTGGGATGCTGTAGATGCTGGAAGTGTGGGTCTATCGTTTTTTCTCAACTAGCCAGAGCACCTCCTTCAGCCAAGGCATCTAGGGAGGTCTGGACCGCATACCCAATGCAACCATTGCAGCTGCATGAGCCACAGCCCATTTCCCCTCAGCATCAGGAGGGGGAACGATGCCAACCCCAGCTGGAAGCAATGTTGAAATTCCTGCTTGAAATTATCCTCAGCTAGCTCAGACCAGACTCATGTGAGTTTTAATGGAGCCCTACATGGACACCTACCACCGGAGTGGAAGCATGTCAGGTGCATCTTAAAGATGACAAGCTGATAGTCAGTGGGCAGATCAGCTCCATGGTTAGTCCTGGTGTCAAGGACATGGGCCGCATCCACTGGGCCATCCATTATATAGTCCAGCAGATGTTCTTGCTTGGAACCCGCGTGCATCCATGATATTTAGTGGATGCGCCGATGCCTGAACATCGTGTTGATAATTACAAGGCCATGGGCTGCACAGAAGTCAAGCAGCCTTCTACCGTTATTAATGAGCTCATCTGGCCCATGCCTTCCAATCACTCCGATCCAGGTGTCTGCGTCATGACCCACTTAGGCATTAAAGTCACCCAACAGGATGACTCTCAATTTAGCTAGCACTTGGGACCGGAGGTTAAAGAAGGCATCTGACTCATTGGCCTTGCCTGCATCCCTCCACTGATGTTAATCTTCGGTGGGGGCGTAAGCAACTACCACCACCATTCCTCACCTTGTTGAGGCCCACAGCAACCTGGGACCTCACCGCCATGCTCACGCACCCCCTTCATTCGTTTGTTCAAAACAAGAGCCCACACCATGTTGTTTGGTAGTTTCCTTCACCGAGTGGAGAACTGTTCACCGCTCATGAAGACTGGATCCAGAACTGGTCCACCGGACCTCCTGTGTTTCACAGAGATCCCAGGTGGTACCGGTCCATCTCCCGACAGAGGAGTGACAGTCTCGCCTTCAAAACGAGAGTCTGAACATTCCACGTAGCCAATGGCAGTGTGTTCTCCTGTTCCTGGAGGGAACCCCGAGGTGGGGGTGGGGTTCAGTCTGGCTCTGCCAGATGGAGTTTGGCCAGAAGGCATCATAAAGGCCTGTCCCCATGGGGCCTCCAGCACGAGCTTATTGCAGTGTTTCCATCGTGATGCTTGGTAGAAGTACCAGGTGCAGGGGGTTACCAGCCCCACGCACACCCATTTTACTGCCAAATGTCACCAACATCGTCACCTTCACCAGCATCAATACCATCACCAGCAAAGAGGCCTCAGACGCGTCCTCTTGTCTCTCCCCCCTCCATTGTGTTTGCAGCCTCAGCGCGCGTCTCTTGTATCTGAAGAAACGACCCCGAGTCACGGTGAGGGTACTCAGTGGCTCCATGCTCCCGTGTAGGACGAGGGGACGGTGGGTGGGTGGATAAATGGGTGGGTGAGGGGATACGTGGATGGGTTAGTGGATGGGTGGGTGCCTATTCAAGGCATCGCGTGTTGATTAACTGTGGTTTGCCCATCTGGAAATATGCACTGAATATTTTCAGATTCCTACAATCCATTGTGATTTCTATAACAATAAACCCCCCTCTGGTCATTGCACCTGATAGGCGTGATGACGTCACACCATTGCTCTATTTAAGACCGGAAGCAGGAAGACTTCACAATTCTGGCAAATCGCCTGAAGCTGCTACTTTCAATCACCGGCGAAACATCAAAGTACTCAAATTGTAAATGTTGTCGTGGGTTTACTCTCAAACACCGGTGTGCTGAAGTAGCAACGAATTGACACGTTTTGTTTAAGTGACAAACCTTACTGGTCACGTGGTGGTGGGTTACACAATCTAACCCAAAAACCTTTATTATGAATATTGGTCGCCAAAGCTGACGTGTTAAATTTAGTGTTAATCACCGAGGCTTACTGAGCCAGACGAAGGCTCCTGTGGGGTTCTGTGTTAATCTGAGGCTCACCGAGCCAGGCTCAGGCTGCTACAACATGAATACACGTCTCTCTGCAGTGGCTGCTGGGGTTCTGGCCGGTGCTGTGCGTGGATGGGAAGATCGATGCCTGAAACCCCCCACCCCCCACCCATGGAGTGGAGCGATCCACGTGCCTGGGACAAGACTTTGCTCGGGAGAAACCAACTCGGCGCCTGGGGGGTGGCAGCGGTGGGAATAAAACTACACTATTTTATTTTTTAGGTAAAGCCCACTGAGATATGTCGATCTTTTTCAGAAGTCACCTGGTTATCACAAACGATCGCTCAATGAAATAGCTTATCGCGTGGAAATTTATAGCAGCAGCCAAACACTCTAAACGCATGACCTTGATTCTAAATGTGGAAGGAAAAACCAGAGGACCCGGAGAAAAATATACGCGACCTCGGAGAGAGACACAGACTCCAAAAATACACAGCAAGCGTCAGGGTCAGGATCCACGACCTCCTGCATGCCAGGCGAGGGAGATAACATCTCATCGCCACCGTGAACGCGTGGGATCTGCAAATTAATCAATTAGAGGCCACGCTCAATCCACTGCTGAATGAGGGCCACCTCGTGCCCGTGTCCGGCCACGGAGGGTTTTCCCCTCTCACCATACGCTGGGTGTGGTGTGCCTGGTGGGTAGTGAAGTGTCACGATGGGTGTGGAGTGAAGTGGCACACTGGGTGTGGTGTGCTGGGTACGGAGTGAAGTGTCACGCTAGGTGTGGTGTGCCTGGTGGGTAGTGAAGTGTCACACTGGGTGTGGTGTGCTGGGTACGGAGTGAAGTGTCACACTGGGTGTGGTGTGCCTGGTGGGTAGTGAAGTGGCACACTGGGTGTGGTGTGCTGGGTACGGAGTGAAGTGTCACGGTGGGTGTGGTGTGCCGAGTGGGTAGTGAAGTAGCATGCTGGGTGTGGAGTGAAGTGGCACGTTGGGTACTGAGTGAAGTGGCACACTGGGTGTGGTGTGCTGGGTACGG